TTTTTTTTTTGCTCCAAGTCCTAAAAATCAACAACCTGCAATAAAATATAAAAAATATCTTCTATTAAAGTGCAATATCACCAAAAATGAGTATAAAATATGGATCTAAAAATGCATATATTTTTTGTGTATCAGACTTCACCTTGGTTCCCATCGACTCCGATGGTTTGGTCTAGATCCCCCAATCGTCAGAGCATCAGCTGACCATAAACTATTTTCACCAATCCTTTATCTTATTTTCAACCTCGAGTAGTTGAATTTTCTTTTCAGTGGAGAACATGGAAAAATATTACTTGACAACCTTAAACATATAAAATAATTGAACAAATCGCTTGACCACGAGACCATCTCTTGACGACAAAAAAGGTTGAATGTCATTATCGCAGCTATAAGATTTGAAAATGCCTGAGCCGGAATGACCCCGTATGTACTAAAGACGCTCTGGAGCTCATCACAAAGGGGCAAACAAAGACTATATCTGAACTAGTCCTGATAGAAGACTAATTCCTTGCTCACATTATCTGTCACGCTAACTGATTTTGGCATCGTCCGAAGGACTATGCAGTCATCCAAGACATACCTCCTCTACAAATCCTCTGCATCTTTCTTTGTCAAGAATGAAGGATCAGTGCCCCTGACAGAGCCAAAGAGGGTGGGATAGTACTTAGAAGTCATTGCAATATGAAAAAGAAAGAGGGAGAGGATGACTGGAACACGAAAGAAAAAGAAGAAATGTAGAGAGACACATAACAAAAAATGACCGAATCCCAGAGTCAGGGTACTAAACCTTAAGCCAAATTGATAAGAATCTAGCTTTTCACTCTAAATCTAACCAATTATACGCCCATCAAAACTTATCTCTCTATTTATTTGCACTCCCCCTTAGGTGATCGCAATGACTCTGCCTAGAATAAAGTGTGGTATCCACTAGTTGGGTGAAATCATAGCCCTTTGAGGACATTATGTTTCTCAACAGATTTTAACCTCACAAATAGTCAGTTTGTAAAGTAAATGAAGATTCGGTGAAAATACCATCACAATTTTTAAGAGTAAAAAAAATCTTTAAATCATTCGAATCTCACAAAACATTTGTATTGAAATCGAAGTTTTACAACAAAACTCAAACACAAATACAAAGTACCTTATATCTTCTCCCCAAACAAATTTCTGGAGTTTCTTCTAAGCAATCTCCAAACTTCTTCACACTAAAACACACTCATACTTACACTTGAACACAAAATATGAAAAACCTAACTTACTATTGCCGCCCAATTGATGTTTTGAGGCTCCAAATGATCTCTAAATTTGGCCAAATCATTCTCATTAAATAAAAAATAGAAAATAACCAAGGGTAGTTTTAAATACCACTCCAAAACTTGGACAAATTAGATGTATCTTCTAGAAAGGTAGTTACTGACACTAAAGCGCCAGTCTGGGGCGCTATAACGCCCTTCCCGCTCGACGGTGGAGTTGTGGCGATAAGAGGTGGCGCGATTGCGCCACACAAAAATCATCATTTTGGCTTCATTTTTTTCCCCATTTTCTCTAAATATCCATTCCACGTACCTGAAACCAAAAATATGCAAAATACATTCTTTTAAAGCGCAATGTCATTAAAAATGTACATAAAATGCTTATAAAATTTGCACTAAAAACATGTTATTTTGAGGTGGATCAAAGTACTTTATAAATTGATCCTCCCAGGCTTCGGTCAGGCATAACCCTTCTGAATTTGTCGACGGAGGACTAACTCTCCACCTTGCCTCATGTGATCCATCTGATCGATGGCACGCTGGAACTCAATCAGGGCAGACGACTCACGAAGTGCTCGTAGCTCGCACTCCACACCTGCCAGTCCGCTACGCAAAGAGGCCACTCCATCCAGAGAGCCCCCGCTTCTGAATATGTAGTCACCAATCGAGCTGACAACCCTCTCACAAGATCTAAAATCAAGCATCAAATCACTCCCTCAGAAGAACTGACTAACACCGTCAAAGGTCCGATCGCATCCACTTTCCACTCTGTGAATCCAGGGGAAGGAGAGCACTACCCTAGTCGCTCTTGTTGGTGGCTTATCGTGGGCAAAGAAGCGGACAACTGGTACCCTCATTGATCCGTTAATGGCAGAAGTTCGGTGTACTCGACCTACAAACTACCCACTGCAGAGGATGTGTACTCCACACTGTCGTTCAAAGGCCTGCCATCTTCGTGTCCCCCAGATCTGATCAATTCATCTACATCTACAAAAATGTTTACAGAGGTGTAAGAAAATTTCCAACAACCAAAGAAAATTTTTGCATTCCAAAAATTCTACCCATTTCAAAAAGGGTCCTTGAGAGCTTCTCTTTCTCTTAAGATACCTTCGTATTTTTGAGGCAAAGGCTGGGAATAACTGACGACTGTCACTCCGTTCGACTCCTTTTCACTGACCTGGTTCTCTTCACCAGCCATGTCGTACTGGCCCTCACCGACTGCACTTATGTTTGACTCAAACGCTAGAGCCTCCTAACGAAGCCTTTTTAGCGACAACCCTTTTGCGTCGTCTGACGATTCGACTAGATCGACTAATGTTGGTTCTAGTTCTGACTATTTGTCATTCTTCAATATCTTCTTCTTCTTTATAGAGACGAGGATCTGATAGTACGCTCCGATTCGTACTTGTAGCTATGGGAGAAATCAAATTATCTGAGTATCATTGACAGCGAAGAAAACCATGCCAAGCCCACCACCCTATTTATAGGGCGCCCCATGCGCGGAACCCAAGGGGAAGTCAATTACTCGATCAATTCTTTTTATTTATGTGTCACTTGTTGTTTAATAGTTTCCATATCCTTATTGTAGTTGTTAATATCAAGTAGAAGAAAAACTCGCGGAACGAAAATGTATACACCAAAATTGCTAGCACAAATCTCAAAGAAATCAGGCAGCTAAAGACAACGACTGAAAAATCTAAGCGACAGGTCGAGGGAACACAATCTAAACCACTCGTTCGATGATTGAGCGCTCTATTGGGTTGGCAGAAGCACACTGTCAAGGGATTCAATCGACGGACCATGCTTACAGTCCCAACCACGTAAGCTTCTTTCAGGGGCGCTCGATCACAATCGATCAATCAATGTTGCCTCGGCAGGAGCGATCACCACGCAACCGGTCGCCCTAGACAGCTAAGCTAAATGCATAGATCTGCTAATGGCCGTTGTATCAAACTTAAATAGCAATACAAACCTTATGTTAAATTAGTGTATTAAATACATTGAGAGCAGTTTTCATAATCGCTCTTCCCTTTCAGCAATTCATGGTCATTTTCATAATCGCTTCCTCATTTCTATAAGTATACAAAAAGACCTTCTATGAATATGAGGCCAAATGATGAAAAAAGAATTTTCACCCCAACTCTTCTCTCAGGAATTCTTTGACCGTCTCTCTTGCTCTCTCCTACTCTCTTGCTCCAGACTCTAACTCTTAAGACGTGTTTTATCTAAAGGACGATTTGAGACTCAAATATATGAAAGATTTATAAAAATGTAAAGCTATAGGAGTTAGATATGTAAATTCATAAAAAAATGAGTGGTAAATATGTAAATGTCACTATATATAATTTCTTGGAGGCTTCAAGATTTCTACTCTGAGCGAGAAAATATTACACATCGATGATTAATAGAAGTTTTGAGTAGGGCTATCAAAATGACTCGTTGCTTGCGAACAACTCGTGTGCAACTCGTTCGCTAAGTTAACGAGCCGGATACGAATAACACGAACAAATATTTGTTCGTTTGTGTTCAACATGTTTTGACTATAATTGCTGAGTAACATTTTTTAAAAAATTAATTGACTATAAGGCTACAAAGATTTAAAATCAATTAAAAGTATTAATTAAGAAAATAAAATTATAATTATTAAATTAGATTCAAATGATGTTTTAATATAAACAATAATTTTAAAATCTTGCCCGAATCCTTAACATCTTATGACTATCTGATTAAGGTTGTCAAAATGACTCTTTGTTTGTGAACGACTTGTGTTCGGCTTGCTAAGCAAACGAGCCGAACACGTACACATTTTTTGATCTCGAGGTATAAATGATCTGAACGAGCTTAGCTTGGGCTCGCTCATGTTCGGCTTGTTTACACCTCTAATTAGTTGTGCCATATTTCTTACTTATATATTATTAAATGGTGATTTATGCAGTTGATTTAATTCAAAATGAGTTCTTATGATATTTAATTTTATTTAAATTTTACTTGCCCATTTATTGCTGCCATGAACTACTGAGAGAAAGAAGAAGAAGTGAAGAACACATTCCTTCAATCTTACAAGCAGAAGCGCAACACCATAAACCAAAACCTAAGAACAGCAGAACAAGCGTTCGCGTTCCATCGGCTACTTCCTCCATTATTCAACCCTAAACCCTAATCACACTTCCTCCCTCTTCCCTCCACCTCTCATTCCACATCAATCGGCAGCAGATCCATCACCGAACCAGTCCCAATCCCTTTCGTGGTATCGTTCAGCATCCACCCCCTATAAGGATGGAACAGTATCTCCTCACTGCAGGTAAACTTAGGCTTCACAGGGCAGTCGATCGCCGCCGATCCGCCATTATCGACGCAGATATGCACCTCGAAAAGCTGAAACTTACCGAACGGCCCCCTGCTGCATCGGATCAGAGGCTCCGCGCCGATGCCTTCGGTAATGGCGCTCTTTATATCGGCGAGTCTGTAGAGATTGTAGTCGGGATGGATGCCATTTTTGACGAGATTGAAGGATATGTCGGCTTTCTGGAGGAGACGGAGGCCGGTTTCGAAGTAGCTGGTTTTGTTCAGGC